TGTCAAGCTGAGGCCCAGATGAAATCCCAGGAGCAGGAAGATAACTTGCATCCCTAGAGCTGGGACATCTCCAGGAACACCAGGCTAGCTGTGGAGGGAAGAGGAACGTCCGTGCATTAGCCATTTGAACACAGGGCTTTTCAGAATCAACAAGTCACGGTGGCTCTGAAACACCCCCCCCACCCCCACCCCCCACACTTCCCATATCCCTGAGGTTCTCTGGGCACCAGGCTCCTGCCCATCAGTCCGCCTGTCTGCGTTTCTGAGCAGTGAGGAGCCAAGCACAGTGTCTTGGTGGGGATGGGCTCACTAGCTAGGATCTACTTCACACCACCATTTCTGAGTAGGGTGAGGCTCAGGTGACCAATTTGAAAAAACCAAACTCCTCTCACGGGGTGTTCAGGTGTTGTTCTGCTTTGAAAACCCTACAGAACACAGTTCTACTGGAGCACTCGTGGGCAGCTGACTCGCAATGGGTTCACTGGCAAGGGGCTTTCCAATCAAACCATGGGTGGTTTCTCTGCAGTCACCTTTAGCAATTCAAAACTCATCACCCCGGCTAAACTGCCACCACCACCACAAACAACTCCTGCATAGACCCTTGTTCACCTGTATGATCACTGTATGCATGCAGGTTGATGTACACCCAAAGCGTATACAGCTAGCCTAGTGGCTGACATCCTGCCCGTAGAGAGGAGACAAGATTTCCATGGAAACAAACTGCTGTGGCTCAGGGACAAGGTCAGCATCCTCTAATACAGTGTTCAGCGAATCGCTTTCCCCAACACAACCAGAGAGAGGCCCGCTGTCCCTTGAAACGTCATTCTCACGCTACCAACCCCCGGAGACCCTCCCCAAACCCGACTTCTTTTTCTACCAGCGGACCATTGTTTAAGGGGCCATTAAGTGTCTGGGGCAGCACGCAAAGTGATATTTTTGTGTCATTTTTCAGGTGGGTGGACGCTAGTTTTTTGAGTGCCCTGACTTTGAAAAACACAAGTGCATTATATGCATGCATTAACATCCAGGGTTGCTCACGTTGCTAGAGGCGGGCTCTGTGGGAAGACAGGGCTTGCCCCCGCGAAGAGGCACACCGAGAGGAAGCCCGTCCAAAAACCCAAGGCTAGTCTGCAGCACACTTCTGTTTTCCTTCAAATGAAGCCCATCTTTTAGCTCCTTCCTTTCGCTCTTAAAACAATAACCCCATTTGCCATGTGCTAGGGACACAGAGATAAGGGGGGTCTCCCCCTGCTCGGTTGGCATGTTCAGAGCCGCATAACCATACAGTGCGGGACCACAGGCTGGGCAGGAATCAGCACAAGGAACGTGCTATAGATACTGCGGTGGGTGCCACCAAGTCCTGGATCCATTTAAAGAAATTCATAGATCGCAGGAAGAGGTTTGGGAGCGCCCCCACACCGCCTGCACTGTCCGACTAGTAGGCCACGCCTCCGTTCCATGTGTCCTCTGTCTGTGATGTCAAAGTCCTTTGGAGGCAATGGCGACATCTCACATATTCATTTCCCTGCCGGAGGACGTGCCTAGCAGACACTCACATCGCAAGGGCACGTCTGTGACCACAGAGGTTTTTATCCTCGGAGGTAAACTGGATGCCTTTTAACATGTGACCGTCTTGGAAACCCGAGGGAGCAGTCTTAACGCTGAGCGATGAGGGCGCCGAGAGTCCAAATTGGCTCCAAAAATTCACCCTTGGGAGGAGTCTCGCCTTTCTGTCCTCCCTGTTATGGCTGCACTGCTAACGGCATTTCACATTGGGCTACACGCTTGTTTGTCTCCTCTCTCTCCTCCGACCATACGAACATCCCACCCAAACCATGTTACCTATCTCCTGAGATACATGAGAACAAACACAAACTCTTCAGGCCACCAGATAAGGGCTGGTAATGAGCTGCTACTTGGCCTACAGCTGCAGTCCCACCCTGGCTTCTTCCTGGGAGCCCTCCCCCACACGCCTTCTCTCGGGAGTCAGGGCTGATGTTCAGCTGCCCTGGACCACCTCTGCGACTAGCCAACAGGCAGCTAATTTCCAGAATGAAGATAACTCATATCCCCACTTTTCTACTTCATCATTCTGACACCAGCCACCCACGAGGCATATTCTCTCTGACCCCAACCACCCAGAGCTGGGTCTCTGCAAATCAGGGCTTTGTCCTGCAGCAGCAACGGTTTAACAGGCGCTCTGGCCGGTGCTCACGGGCTTGGTCTGTGGGTCAGTAGTTTGTAGAGTGTCTTGCAGAACTCACTCAGAAATGCTCACCCATGCTTAGAGTTCCCTATCTCGACCAGCGAGGACGTGTGTGAAGAGACGCGGTGCCAAGAAAGGCCTCAACGGGGTCCTGGCACAAGGCCGCCACTGTCTCGTGCATGTGTGCCACCCTCCCACGGGAAGCCCCGCGAAGAGAAGGGCCAGAGTGCTCTCAGCACGGGGATCTCAGCGAATCGGTGTAGCTGGCACCTTGATTGCGTGTGCTCGGTCCAGTCAATGAGTAGACATGGCTTTCCTGCCCTGGTCCCTGCAGGGTAGCCCCTACCTGCCTGGCTGGATGCTTTAGATAGGCAGAGAGCATCTTCCTTGCTCGGGCCGCATGCAGAAACCAGATAGCTCCTTGAGACCTAACTCAGTCTTCTGCCCACACCTCCTCTCTGCCCCCTTTTGTTCATGTCACACCTAAAGCCCTCCCCTTCTGAAAAGCTGTCTCAGCTCCCACCGAGCCACCAAGAACCCTCCCCCCCACCTGCCCAGCCTCTAGCGGGGCTTCTGTGTGCTTCTCACACCATGGGGCTGTCTGCCTGGCAGACTCGAGGTGCGCAAGCGCTGTCGAGTGAACGGGCACTGCACAGCAACGCTGGCCCATGCCTAGGGAGCTGAGAAGGAACCCACAGCTGGGTCCCCAGGGCTAGCGAGGAGGCTCGCACCCTTTCTGAAGACTCTCACCTCATCAGTTTATATCTGGAAACGAAGGCTTTACCACAGTCTGGCTGCAGGCACTTGTAAGGCCGTTCCCTGGAGTGAGAATAGGTGTGAATGGTGTACTTCTCCAGGGTGAGGAATGTCTTGCCACATAGTCGGCAGGGGTAGGTGGCCATGGGTTTGAACTCTCACACCTTCCTTTTCAGATTTGCTGACCAGCGGCTGTGCCATTTAAGCACGGCCGGAAGCAGGGTGCTGGGTGCTTCAGCAGAGCCACTGCAGCTGGACCTCAGACCAGGACAGAGGCAGCATGATGGTCTGGGGCCTCTCAGTCGCCACTAGTTGTGTTTCCTGGGTGTCCACATCCCAGATGATCAGCAGTGTCAAGCTGAGGCCCAGATGAAATCCCAGGAGCAGGAAGATAACTTGCATCCCTAGAGCTGGGACATCTCCAGGAACACCAGGCTGGCTGCTCGGGAACAGGAAGCATCCACTGCGAGATGGCCCAGGAGTCCTCTTGGGATTTTGTCTGAGGATTCAGACCTGTAAGGAGAGCCTTCTAAGGTTGAGGCACAGATGGGTTTAGGTATCCTGGGAAACAGAACACACAGCCAACGTGAGAGTAATCGAGGGTGTGGGTAGATGGCCAATGATGAAACCTCGGTAATTCTCCTGTTTCACAAGAAATCAAGGCCAGTGGCTGTTTATGCAGCAGGCAGGAACACTCCTGCAGCGCGGCAAACCCCGCGGCAACCCGCTGCCCGGCTGCCGCGCGCCCCCGCCCGCTGCCCGGCCGCCCGCCCACCACCTACCCTGCAGGGTCCGCAGCCCCCAGGAACTCACGCCCGGCCGCTCGGGCGCACCACCGCAGCCATGGCGGCGAGCCGGGGAAGCGCCC